CTTCTCCTCCTCCTCCTCCTCCTTCTCCTCCTCCTCGGTCGCGATTTTTTCCGCGATTCTGGCTTCTTTCCACGACGTCGGCACAATGTCGGATCTCAGGAGACGGAGGGTTCGGATCGTTTTCGGCGTCAGGGGGCTCCCGCTTGGCCCTGAGACCGCCAAATAGTGGATTACCCAGGACGAAAACCGGTCCCCAGGCAGTGGTCCAGAGCTTTTGGGGCCCCCCGTGCCGAAGAGACCAAGACGTCGGAGGTCACGAGTTGCCCTGGCCACGCTGCAGCCGATCTGGATCTTCCTGCCGACCGTCGCGCTCGGGCAGCCGCGGACCGCTGTGCAGCCCGCGGTTCATCGCCGATCATCGGGCGGGCCGATCCGGGAATGGTTCACGGCCTCGTCCCGCTCCTCGGGAGGGGGCCTCGCCGCGCCCTGAGTTTCTCTTGCTCCTTCTGCCAGGCTTTCTTTGAACGCGTCCGTCGCCCATCTCTCTCTCTCCCCCAAGATCCCCGTCGTATCGTTTGCCGCTGGCACCTGCGCATGGGCTTCAGTAGTTCACCATGAGCCGTCATTGCGACGGGCTTCGCAGCTGCCGCAGGGGGGCAGACCTGGAGGGGCCGGCTGAAGTGCGATCAGGTATTGGCGCGACTCGGCACTGTGTGTTTACGCCCGTTTCCGCACGATTGATGAGGAAAAAAGGAGTTTAAAGTGCAACCGGCATTCGGGCATTCGGGCATTCGCGCGCGTTACGACAGCGGTTCTTGAAGCATGCGGTCCGCTCCCATCTTCTCCCTCCAAGAAAAAAGACAGGTACTGGCGCGACCTGATCATGCAGATCTACTCGAAGTATAACCCCTCGAAGTGCGGAGACGTGGACTCGCTCCTCGCCAAGTACAGGCCGGGGGGGGGCATCGCGCAAAGGGAGGCCCTGGTGCGGAGAAGACCCGGGCTGGCTGGCTGGCTGGCTGGCTGGCTGGCTGTCCGTCTCGGGTCCTCAGCCTGCTCCTCTGGTCACCGAGCGTTCCACTACTCGCAAAGTGCATACTCGCAAACTTCCAAAAAACATGTCTTCTTCGGTATTATCTTGAATCCCCCGCGGCGGATCCAGGCCATTTGCGAGTAGTCACTTTGCGAGTAGTGGAACGCGCCTGTGCACCTGGGGCTCCCCGTGCTTCCTGCTCCCGCGGCGCCACCACGCGGGAGCGACGGAAGAGATCGAGCTCGTCCTCGCCGACGTTGGCGCGTGAGCTGCCCGCGCATGGTTGCGCATGAGCGCAGCCGTTTCCGATGCAGCGTGCCGCGCCGGCGGCAGGAGGAGGAGGAGGAGGAGGAGGAGGAGGAGGAGGAGGAGGAAGAGGGGAAGAAGAAGGAGGAGGAGGAGGAGGAGGAGGAGGAGGAGAAGGACGACGACGAGCCGAAGTGGAGGAGGAGGAGGAGGAGGCGGAGCAGGAGGAGGCCGCGGCGTGAGGCCGCTACGCCATCTCGCGTCAGACGCGCTTCTCTTCGTCGCTCCCGTGGCGCCTTCGAGGGGCACTCGCGCTCGGCCCCTCGGGGCGCGCCGTGGCCCCCGGCCCGGCCTGCGCCCCCGCCGCCCGGCGCCTCGGAAGAGGCCGTGCCCCGCGCGGCTGCATGCGGCCAGCGCGTGGCCGCGGTGGGGGCCCGGGCCGCGTGGCCGGCCCAGCGCGTGCCCCGGTCCGCCGCGCGCCTGGCAGCCGTGCCGCTCCTGTCCTCATTGGCTGCGCTCTCCGTGCAGGACGGCAGGCACGATCTGACCAGGTTCTGTGGCAAGTTTACAGTGGAGGCCCATGCCAAGAAACACCCTGCTTGCCTCCCGGGGCGCCCGGTGTTTCCTGGGTTTCGACGGTTTTGCCATGGAGAGCGTGACATTCCCGCACCAGAAATCGTGGAACGTGGTCTCGGGTTTGGGTTTCTTGTGGAAGGTTTCTTGTGGTCGGGCCCCTACTGCACCCTGATTCCGGATCCGCCGTGCTTGAGGTGATCTTCCGAATCAAAATGGTGTCGGACATGCACCCCAAACGGTGCGAAAAAGTGGAGCTGAAAAATCTCCGCCTTGGGAGTAGGGCGGCTGTTTCCGCAAGAGCTTGGCGGAATCAGCGACGGCAGAGTAGGGCGGACATCGATATCAAAGGAGCCTGACAAGTAGGGCGGACATATCCGTCGTACCTGCGAAAGCGCCCAGAGCAGGGCGGATCCAGAGTCATGGCGCTGCCAACGCCACGGACGAGAGATCTTTCTCCCAGCAGGCGCACCCTGGAAAGTGCCTGATGCCCCTCGGGGCGTCGGCATGACCCCCAGGGGGCGCCCGTGGTCGGGTGTCTTAACTGCACAAATGCGCATCGCTCCTTGGCGTGGGCCGTGGTGTGGTTGGCCTGGCGGGCGGGCCTCCGCGCCTCCGGGGCGCTATATCTGTGCGCTCCCTCCGGCTCTGCCGCGGTCTGCCGCGCGAGCCTTGGCACGAGCTTGCCCCCTGGCGCCCTGCAGCAGGCTGACGCCCTCGGCGACCCGCTTCGAGGTGGATGTCCATCGCGGCTCTCGGCCGGCATCGCCCAAGCATGCAGATGCTATATCATGTGTGCGTGCGTGTGCGTGTGCGTGTGCGCGTGCGTGTGCGTGTGCGTGTGCGTGTGCGTGTGCGTGTGCGTGTGCGTGTGCGTGTGCGTGTGCGTGTGCGTGTGCGTGTGCGTGTGCGTGTGCGTGTCTGTGTGTGTGTGTGTGTGTGTCTGTGTGTGCGTGAGTGTGTCTGTGTCTGTGTGCGTGTGTGTGTGTGTGTGCGTGTGTGTGTGTGTGTGCGTGTGTGCGTGTGTGTCTGTGTGTGTGTGCCTGCCCCCTTTGCGGCGGCGCGCGCGCTCGGGAATCTTACAGTGCATGCTCGGCGGAGGCCGCTTTCTGGCCATACCGCCCGGGCAGCGGCATGCTACAAGATGCTGGTGCAATGCGGTTGCGGGAAGAGATCCAAGTGACGCTCCCCCCCTCCCTCGCAATTCAAAGTTGGCACGTTCATTGAAGACCACTCGGAGGCCCAAAACCTGAGGATCCGAAACCAACACTGAAATTGTGGGGAGGGGGGGAGGTCGAACCAATTCTTGACGTTTCGCGTATCCCCACCAGCTACGACCCGCTCTCTGGAATCGTCCTTGGAGCCGCAGATCCAAAAAGTATCCCCACCAGCCCATCTAGAAACGATGCCCAAGAGAGTTGACGGGGGGAGAGAGGAAGGAACATGTATAATTTGTCAAACAGCGAGGGAGGCTTGGGAGGCTCCGTGGCCATCTCGAGCCGTCTTGGAGCGATCTTGGGGCCTGGAGCGTCTTGGGAGACATCTTGAGCCAGCTTGGGCTAGCTGAGCCATCGTGGAGGTCATCTTGGGCTCTCTGAGGCCGCTCGGGGGCTTCTTGGGCCCCTTTAGGGTGCCTCTTGGAGCCCTCTTGGGGCCTCTTGGGGCCTCTTGGGGCGCTCCTGGAGCCCTCTTGGGAGCCTCTTGGGAGCCCTGGAGGGCCTCTTGGGGCCATCTTGGAGGCGGTCGGTCAAAAGAGGGGGGGTAATTACTCGATTTCCTTTCCCCCATCGGAGGCCACGATCCTCGTGAGGGGTGTCAAAAATTGGCCCCCCCCCGGGGCCGAAAAAGGAGCCTCTGACACCCCGCGGCCCCCCCCCAAAAAAACCTCAGGGAGGGGAGGGGGAGGGTTCCCCTCCCCGAAGGGAAGAGGGGTTGTGTAAGAGAAAAGGGACCCTCGTTGGACCACCTGTCGCCCAAATGGCCTGTGGGATTGCTTCCGACACCTGCGTGTTCGGCGCGGACGTGCGCCTGCGAGGCGGGGCGCACAGCGCCGGTCTGCCCTTCCGCATCCAAGCCGGGGCCGCCCGGTGGCTCGGGGTCCCCTCGGCTGTCGGCTGCGTTACATCAAGCAGTGGCGAAGCGTCTTGGCGTGCCTCTAGGCCTACCAAGCAATGTTCTAAGAACCTTCTGTGGTTTCCACGAAACGTTCTTAGAACCTTTCTGGCTGGGACTGTTTTGTTTTAGCGCATCGGGTCTACGTTCTAAGAACACCGTTGTTGTTCTTAGAACATTTTGGGGCTCTAAGAACATTTCGTGGTAGGCCTATAAAAATGCCGGGACGGTCGGTCCCTGCTCAAGTTCCAGGCTCTCGCGGTCGATCGGCCGTCCGAGCACCTGGCCGCTGCAGGGGGTCCTCCTCCTCCTCCTCCTCCTCCTCCTCCTCCTCCTCCTCCTCCTCCTCCTCCTCCTCCTCCTCCTCCTCCTCCTCTCAGGAGGGGAAAAAACACAGACACAATTAATCGTCGATTCCCCAGAAAATATGGGAAAATATGGGAATTGGGCGGGAAGACAAAACCCAGAAAATATGGGAAAATATGGGGAACCATTTTTTTTGTGTGTATTTATTTGTGTGTCCCAGGGCCCCTTCACCTCCTCCTCCTCCTCCTCCATCCCTCCTCCTCCTCCTCCTCCCCTCCTCCTCTCCTCCTCTTCCTCTCCTCCTCCTCCTCCTCCTTCCTCCTCCTCACTCCCTCCCTCACCTCCTCCCTCCTCCCTCCTCCCTCCTCCCTCCTCCCTCCTCCCTCCTCCCTCCTCCCTTCTCCCTTCTCCCTCCCTATCCTCCTCCTCCCTCGAGCAGCCCGATGGATCCGACCGCGGGCGTCCACCGGAGGCGCCCGCCGCTAAGCGCCCCCCGTGCGGTACCCCCCCAGGGGGCGCGAGCGCACCCTGTACCTGGGCATCTGCGAAAAGTACAAGGCCCGACGCTGCGAAGCACACTTGCTGGGGTGGCTGTGAGGTCAAATCGAGAAGTGCATCATCTATTTTTTAAGAAGATGATTGTGCAGGGGGTCAACTTTCAAGTGAAACCCATACGCCATATGGCAAACGAAAAGCGAGAAACAAACACCCTGAGATCCGATGTTGTGGAACATGTGCGGCATCGCGAATAATAACGACCGGAGCCTTCATTCCCATCTTTCAGCGGCACTTCTCGAGCCAGGCCAATCTGTGATGGCCCTCGGTCCCAAGGCCGGGCGAGAGCGCCTGGCGTGAAGAGTTGCAGCGCACGGTCAGATTCCAGACCCCCGACGTTGTGTGTGTTTTTTTTCGTGACGTGGACTCCCAGAGGGGTCTGGACCCATTGCTGGAGACCAGTGCTTCATCGTGAGTCGCTCCTGACGGCCCCGAGGCCTGGCGAGGGCCCCCAGACGCCGCAAACGACGGAAGAGCTCCAGCGTAATCCACGGTGGAGGTCTGGGGCTTCAGGTTCCACTCCTCAGCTGCAGCTGGGCTGCTTGTACGTACAGTGGGGACGCGCACCAAGAAACCATCTGGTTTGTCAGGGTGCCCTGGGTTTCTTCGTTGCCAGCGATGCGCGCTGACTTCTTCCGACCGTGAAGGGACTGCTGCGCCGTGGGTACCTGGGGTTTCTCCGCTTGTATCCCTTGGAAACGAACCCCAGGCCCTGGTTAGACTGCCGCCTCCTAGTCCAGGGTGAGGTTCCTTCAACAGCTGCCGTCTCTGTGCCTTCTTGCTGTTTGGGTCTCTCCGTTGTTTCATGAACGGGTGGGCCTGGCCACCACTTTGCACTGCTCGGGACAGTGCTCCCGACCGCCTTCTCTAAGCTTGCTTGGTGGAGTCATCGCCCAATCCGTTGGGAAGCTGGCAGTCTTCCTTATCAGGTGCTCTCTCCAGGGGAAAAAATCCCAGGCCCTGGACAAGAAGCTCTGCGGAATTTCAGGGCTGGGCTCCTTGCGAGGGCTTCTTGCGGCCGCGTCCCCACTGCAAAATTTTGCTCTTAGCAGGTGCCTCCGACCGGCATCGGGCAGCCGCCTGGTGGGGCGCCCCCGCCCCCGCCGCCGCCTCCGCCCGCTGGCAGCCCGGACCAACCCCCCCAGCCGGGTGGCGGCGCCGCCGCTGCGGTGGACGAGGAAGCCGGGCCTCCCTCCTCCTCCTCCTCCTCCTCCTCCTCCTCCTCCTTGTCCTCCGCGTCCTCCTCGTCCTTTTCGTCCTCCTTCGCGAAAGGTACGAAAAGTAGGGTGGGTACTTCTGCCCTCGGAAAGTAGGGCGGACACTTCTGCCCTACGTTTGCGAAACGTTTCACAATCTTGTGGATCAATCGCAGGTTTGCGAAGCATCCCGCAGCTTGTGCGGAATGCTCCACATCTCTTTCCACACAAACAGAGCGGACATCCACAGCGCCAGGGCGGCAACAGCGATGGAACGGTAGGGCGGACATCGACATCAAAGGCGCTTCTCCCCTTCAGACTCGGGCGTCGCCGTTTTTCGCACTGGGCGTTCTCGCCCAGCCTCGGGCCCGGGGGCCACAGGTGTCGGAAACAATCAAGCAACACTCATGCAGAACATATGGTTTGAACCTCCCCCCCCCTTCCCCCAAATGCAATGCTGGTTTCGGATCTTCCGATTTTGGGCCTCCGAGCGGTCTTGCGAAAACCTGTCAACTTTGAATTGTGGGGGAGGGGGAGAGTGTTGCTGAATTGTTCCCCTCAACCGCATCACAGACCGATGCGGCCTCGAGGCGTGCAGCAGAAAAGGTGGGGGTCCGGCTCTCCGACCTTCTTGGCTTCCCGCGATGTCGCGTAGTTTTGCAACGTCGGGTCCCTGGGCCTCCTGCTGCCGCCCCTCCTCCGGGCCGTGGTCGGCTCCTGGCAGGGGACGGGGGCGAGAAGGACGAGGAAGCAGGAAGAGGAGGAGGAAGAGGAGGAGGAGGAGGAGGAGGAGACGGAGGAGGAGGAGACGAAGGAGGAAGAGGAAGAGGAGGAGGAGGAGGAGGAGGAGGAGGAGGAGAAATCATGTGGAAAAACAACAAAGAAGGGGCTTTAGAGAGCAGGATGGGTGAGCATGGAGGAGGGAGGTGGGATGAGAAGGAGAAGGAATGACGAGGAGGAGGAGGAATAGAAGGAGGATGAGTATGAGGATCAGATGGTGCTGATGATGATGATGATGGTGGTGATGATGATGATGATGATGATGATGATGATGATGATGATGATGATGATGATGATGATGATGATGATGATGATGATGATGATGATGATGATGATGATGATGATGATGATGATGATGATGATGATGATGATGATGATGATGATGATGATGATGATGATGATGATGATGATGATGATGATGATGATGATGATGATGATGATGATGATGATGATGATGATGATGATGATGATGATGATGATGATGATGATGATGATGATGATGATGATGATGATGATGATGACGAGGAGGAGGAGGAGGAGGAGGAGGAGGGAGGAGGAGGACGCGTTGGAATAAATATGATGGATCAGGGGGGAGGAGGAAGCTGGAGAAGGAGGAAGAGAAGGAGAAGGAAGAGGAGGAGAATGGGTGGGAGCAGGACGCGGAGGTGCAGGAGGAGCAGGAGGAAGAGAAGGAGAAGGAGAAGGATCAGGAGGAGGAGAAGGAGTTGAATGGGTGGGAGTAGGACAAGGAAGAGGAGGACAACCAGTGTGAACCCAAGACTCATCAACAATGTTGCAATACACCCCGTCCTCTGAACTCTTTCTTCGTAGGCCCCTACAGAGATTCATTTTCCACTGAAGGAAAGCAATCGTTTGAACATCTTGGACTGTGCCATTCCTGAGAGTTCAACGCCGCGAATCGCCGTTACCGTTGCGTCTTGACGCTCCTGGACCGCGTCAGAACACCATTCCTGGGGCTTCAACACTACCGAACAACGTAACCGTTGCGCCGTGACAGTCCGACATCGTGCCAACATACCATTTCTGGGGCGTTGGCCGCGAGCATCCCTGCAACTGTTCTGTGAACTCTTGAAGCGACTGTGCGCGGCGGGAGGGCGAGAGCCACGTTTTAAAGGTGGCCCGCCGTCCATCCGTGAAGCTTTTTTCACACGTCGGATACGGATGTGCGCGGCGGCACGGCCAGAGCCGCATTTCGAAGACGGCCCGCCCTCCAGTCGCGAAGCTCCTGCATTTTTTTAAAGACGGATGCGCGCGGCGCGAAGGCGAAAACCACCTTTTGAGAACGGTTCGCCCTAACATCCGTGCATCTGCTGCATATTCTGAGCTTCCGGATCATAAGCGGTGTGGGATTCTCAGGCGAAGCGCCGGGCCCGCCTTTTCGACCGGCCTCGGAGCGCCACCGGGAGAATTTCTTTACAAGGGAAGGAATGAAGGAGGAGGGGGAGACGGAGGAAGACGACGACGAGGAGGACTTGAGGAAAGACGAGGAGGAGGGTACATAAGGGGACGTCTGGGACGCAGGAAAGAGGAGCAGGAGGACGTCTGGGACGTCTGGGGCGCTTGCCTTGGGCGTACCTCCTGGGACTGGAGGCCGAGGGGTTGAGGCCAGCCGTGGAATCGGTTCCGCTTCGGCCCTCGCCGCGCGAGCGGGGCGAGGAGAAGCTGCCCGTGCGGGCGAGACGGGGTCGCCGTGCGGCTGTCTTGTGTGGTTGTCCCGTGCGGTTGTGTGGTTTCTAGCTTTGTTGGTGTTTTTTATTTGGGCAGTTTGGTCGTTGGCTTGATCGCTGGGCAGATCCGAAGATTCACTGTTGGATGGGCACGCCTCTGCTTACAGGTTCGACAGATAGTAGTGTCGTTGGCTAGATGGTCAGCCTGATTCTTTCTGGGGCCAGTAAAGCTAGTCTGCTGCAGCGGGACCGTTTGTTGCCCTGCTCCTTGCTGCCCCCCGACGCCGTGCCAGCGCAGCAGCACAGCAGGAAGCTGGAAGGAGGTCGAGATTGAGATCCGCTTCAATTCAGTGCCTCTCTGAATTGGCGCGGGTCTTGAGCATCCATGTCTGCAGCCTCGTCCTTCTCTTCGTTCCTCATTTCTCCTCCTCCTCCTCCTCCTCCTCCTCCTTCTCCTTCTCCTTCTCCTCCTCCTACTCCTCCTCCTCCTCCTCCTCCTCCTCCTCCTCCTCCTCCTCCTCCTCCTCCTCCTCCTCGTCCTCTTCCTCCCGGGCTTCTGAGAGCCTCTTTGTTCTGGGGCCCCTGTGGGGGGCATCTTTATTGGCCCGTTGGGGGCCCGTCGGGGGTCCGGGGGCCAGCTTGAGCACGATGGTTCCACGGGAGGCCCCCCTGTTCATCGCTGCCCGACGGCGCCAGCGCCGGCGCAAGCGCGCGCCGTCGTCGGTTGCGAGAGGGGGGCCCCCCTCCCGGTTCGAACCCCCCCCGCTGCAACTCGGGAGGGGGCCTCTGCCCGGTTCGAACCCCCCCGTCCCCCTTGGACAGGGGGGCCCCGCCCCCCAGTTCAACCTCTCCCCCTGCAACTGGGGGTGTGGGGCCGCCCCCCCCCTCCCCCCCTGGTTCGACCCCCCCACTCTGAGGGGGGGCTACCTTGCTACCCTCCCCTCGGCGGTTCGACCCCTTGCCCTTGCATCTGAGCGCCCCCCCCCCTGGTTCGAACTCCTTTCCCCTTCCCCATTCCCAGCGTCCACATGGCGCGCTCTGATAGATTTACATAAGCCCCACGAGACAACACTTGGCAATCCAATTACCACGCCTCAACGTGAAAGCGGACGCGTGTGCGGATGAGGCGAAGCTGCGCGAGGGTGAGACAGATCCCCGACTCGTCAGGGCAGGTTGCCATCATAGTGTTCCTCCCCGCCCCCGGGCAGGCGGTGGCCCTCGCGGTTGTCCGAGTGCTCGTCCTGTGGTTGTCCAGTGGTTGTTATGTGGCTGCTTCGTGGTCGCCCCGCGGTTGTCCCATGGTTGTCCCGTGGCTCGCCTGTGCTTGTCCTGTGGTTGTCCCGTGGTTGTCCGGTGGTTGTCCCGCGCTTGTCCTGTTCCAGTGGCTGTCCGAATGTTGTCACGTGGTTGTTCCGTGGCTGTGCAGCGGTTGCCCCGTGTTCGCTCCGTGGTTGTCCCACAGTTGTTCCGTGGTTGTCCCTTGGTTGTACCGCGGGGCAACGGCGGTTTCCCCGCGTTTATCCTACGCCTGTCCCGTGGCTGCTCTTGTGAAGCAGTAGGACTGATGAGGATATGATGCGGTCTGAGTGCGTCGGAGGCGGACGGGGGAGAGCACTGGGAGGTACTAGCTAGACCTAGACATGGATCGATAGATGTTGCGGTCGATGGATACATTCACACCGAGATCAATGGATAGAGAGTAAGGCCGATCAGTAGTAAGACCGACATATGTGTTGTTAGGCAAAGAGAGCTATCGTTACTCATGTGGGCACACACATTTATATATACATATATATATATACACATAAATTATCGGTATATGTAGATGTCGAGGTCGTCAGGTTGAACAGATCGCGATTTCGACTGAATCACGAAGCAAATTCCCCAATCAGAGCTTGCCTCTGTAGGGTCCTAGCGGATTCATATGGTTAGGTTAGGTTTGCCGCCGATTTTCGCTGCACGCCCGGCTGCCCGGGGGTGCCCGGGGGTGAGGTTGGCCGCCGATTTTCGCTGCACGCCCCGGTGCCCGGGGGGTGCCCGGGGGTGCCCGGGTGCCCGGGTGCCCGGGCGTGCCCTGGGGTGCCTGGGGGTGCCCTATAGCCTTAAAGCCCCCTAGCCCTATAGCCCTACAACGCTATAGCCCTGTAGCTCTATAGCCCTATAGCTCAATATCCCTATAGCCCTATAGCCCCCTAGCCCTATAGCCCTGATTGGGGTTTTTCTCCGGTATCATATTTGACTCATCCCTCCAACAACTGTCTCATGACCCGAATAGCGGTACTATCGGTGGATATTTGGTGGCGTTTGGCCCATCCTGCCCCCGTGCCTGAGTCGTGGACCAGAGTCCCCTTGAAGTTCTGTCGTGGTCTCTTGGGAGGCCTCTTGGAAGCCTCTTTGAGCCCTCTTGGACGCATCTTGGGAGCCTCTTGGAGGCCTCCTGGGCGCCTCTTGGGGGTCTCCGGTTGCCTTCTGGGGGCGTCTCTGGGACCTGCTGGTGGTGGCACCGGAGGGCCATCCTGTGGGGAGGGCTCCTGCGGCCTCTTCGAGTTCCCGTTTCGCCCCTCTTGGGGCCCCCATGGGGGTCTCTTGGGCCCTTCTTGGGAGCTCGGGGGACGTCGTGGGACGATCTTGAGAGCCACTGGGTCCGCTGTGGACGCTCCTTGGACCGAAAAAGCGAGAATACTAGAACCATCGTGGTTGGACGATTTGGGCCTCTTGGGCCAGCCCGGAGACAGGACGGCCCAAGAGACCCCCGAGACGGGTCCCAGAATGGTAATGCAATTCTCGGGGGTGGTCCGCCTTCCCGCGCCCCTCAATTTCAATGTCCACTCGGGGCGCCGCGTCACTCAATTTTACCGCTGTCGGCCGCGGCCGACTCAACATTGAGGTCAGGTGTCCTGGGGGGGTCCCAAGAAATTGAAACAATAGTTGCAGTACGTTTCCACGGGATGTAGGCCAACTGTTGAGCATGTTAGACGTTCGGGCTCCGATCCACGCTTCCGAGACTCGGGCAAAGGTCACGCGGAGCATCCTGGAAGTACGCAGGAGTGCCCTGGAGCGCCCAGGGATACCGTGAGTTGGGGGCTTGGATCCTTCAATCATGGAGAAAAGAACCCCTTAATCCTGATAACAGAGTGAAGACGTGGCCTCACGTAGGTCCCTGTCTTTGCATCGCGAGTACCAAATCTGGGAACTTGGTCTTACGCACCTGCAGGACAGCCCCCCCATCCCTGATGTCCTTTGGCCCTCCTAACCCTTTGGTCCCCTCCCAAAGGGTCAGGGGTTCCACAGCGTCCACTGCTGAGGAGACCTGGGGACACGAGAGTACATGTCACTCGGTGCCCGCGGCACGGTGGCGCAGGTACTGCGCTGGTGGGGTGGGTAATATGTATTGGTCGGTGTGTACATAGATGCACAATTCTTGTTCAGCATAAGTGTGAATAAACATGCGGATACGTACGCATATATATATATATATACACAAGACTGCAGTGGCGTTTCGCGCCATGCATCTGGGTCCTTGAAGTTTGGTATGCAGACGGGATAGCAGGAAGGTCAAGCTGACAATTTAGCGATAGTTCCTTGTTGCCGTTTCCAGCGGCGCCGTTATCAGAATCGTATTCGTGATCCTTCCTCCATGCTTCTTTTTCTTCATTCTCGCCATACCCTGCGCATTCTCTCCATCCTCCTCAGTTCTTTTTTGCGGAGGCTCCTCCTTGGTGAGCCTCTGGGGGCCTCACAACAGTTTTTCAGGCTTTAAGGCCTTCTGGAGGCCTCCTGGGCGTGTTCTGGGGTCCTCTGAGGGCTTCCTCGCGCCACCCTGCCTCCAACCGCGGTCTCCCTGAATGACAGGGTCACGATTTGGAATGCTTCGGAGGGCGTCTTGGGGCCATCTTGGGCCGCCATGAGGCTCTCTTAGGGCCATCTTGGACCCCTGTCGTGCCGTTTTGGGACTCTTGGACTGCCTGGAAGTTCTTTCGGATAATTGTGTGGCGATTTTGAAACCTCCCAGGCGGCTCTGGACGCCCAGAAGACTGCCGTCTTAGAGCGTCGGGAAGCCGAAAAGAGGATAACCCAACAATTCACCAAAAACCCACAGACAATCAATGTTTTTTGCCTCTTGGGTTCTTCTTGGGAGTGCTCTTGGAGGCCTCTTGGGACGTTTCGGAGCGATCTTTGGGAGTATGTCGGCTTCTTGGGGGTCGTCGTGGACCGTATTTGGGCTCTCTGGGGTCGTTTCGGGAGCGCGCCGGACCCGGAACCCGTCACCGTCTGGGGCCGGCTTCGGGCCCTCGTGAGGTTCTCCCGGGTCGTCTGAAGGGTGCCCGGAGGCCCGTGGAGGGCCAAATTTGTTAATGGGGCCCAAGAATGGACAAATGTAGGACAAACATTGGAGAAGCGAGGTTTTTGGTCTTCTCGCCTTGTCGCTTCCGATTGGCTCTTGAGACGTCGAGACAGCTCCAAGACGTCTCCAACTGAGTGCCCTGACGAGCTCCAAGGAGGTCCAAGGCTGGCGCAACAGGGCCCGGAGAGTGGGACAAGCAAAGAAAACGCAGTAGAACAGCAATGTTTTCGGCCTTCTCGCTTTTTCACTTCCGGCTGACTCGGGGGGCGTCCAGACGACCCCAGGACGGCCACAGGGAGGCGCAAGACAGGCCCGAGGATTCGAAAGTCTTTCGGGGAAGGGTGGGGGGTGGGGGGGGCGCTCCCTGGCACTATAGGGCCCGGCCCAGAGATGGACAAATGTAGGAAAATCATTGGACATGCAAGGTTTTGGTCTTCTCGCTTTGTCGCTTCCGATTGGCTCTCGAGGCGTCCAGATGCCTCCAAGACGGCTCCAGACTCCAGATGAGGCTCCAGACGAGCCCCAAAGAGGCCGAAGGCTGGCGCAACAGGGCCCGAAGAGTGGGAAAAGCAGAGAAAACGCAGTAAAAAAGCAATGCTTTTGGCCTCCTCGCTTGTGCACTATCGCTTGACTCGGGGGGCGTCCAGATGATCCCTGGATGGCCACAGCAAGGCGCAAGACAGGCCCGAGGAGGCGAAATTCGTTGGGGGGGGATGCGCTGGGGTGTGGGCTCCCCGGCCCTATAAATATATATGAATAGGAATATGTGTATGTGTATATATAATATAACATGTAAATGTACGTATATACGTATATACGTATATAGAAATATGTTGCCAATCCGACGCGAGGCCATGGTAAACCCATAATTGCGCCGACCCCCTCAAGCCTCCTCATCACCCGCAGGTCGGGCCATCGGTTAAGCTTCCTGTGCCTGCTCCCAGCGCCTCGATGCTACGTGTCGTTCTCCATGTGCCGCTGGCTCTCATCCGCTCCAGGGTCAAGCCCTGGTTGTCTTTCCCCCAGGAGACCGTGGCGAAGTACAAAGAGCTCATGATCGAGATTTACAAGGAGCACAATCCTTCAAAAGTGGACGACGTGGACAACCTTTTGACCAAGTACCGCGGACGCGAGGAGCTCGTCTACCGCGGCATCTGTGAAAAGTACAAGGTGGCCAGGGATTCGGCCTCGCGAGATGCGAGGTCGACGATGCGTTTTGGCGCTAGCTGTAATCCAACATTCGAGGCCTCTGGAGATTATGGCTTCGCATGGCGATGTTTTACAGGGTGTTACGCCTGCGACTGGTCGGGCACAATTTGTGATGCTGGCGGGATGTTTTTCCCCTTCCTTTCCAAAACCATCCTCTTTTTTTGGTTTTTATCTCCTCCACTCCTTCCACCCTCCCTATCTCCTCCCCATCTCCTCCCTATCTCCCCATCTCCTCCACTCCCTCCTTCCCACCCCCCCTTATCTTTCCCCCCCCTCCTTTGTTTTTCTCTCCTTTCCCTATCTCCTCCACTCCTTCACCCCTCTCATCCTTATCTCCTCCCTATTATCTCCTCTACGCTCTCGTTTCTCCTCCCTGAGCCGGGCCCTGGACTACCCCCGACCAGAGAGAGAGAGAGATGCCGAGGCCGTCGTTGATCTGATGCTGCTGCAAGCTCTGTCACGGCATCGGCTGCCTCGATACGCCCGTCGAGTTACGCAACACGTGCCGTGCTCAGAGCGTCCGTGTCAATACGCTGCGTGCCGGCTCAGTGTATCGGCCCACGTCTTGGCGAGCGCATCGCGTCGGGCCTGCGTGTTCGGTCTGCGTGCTGAGCTCCGCAGCAATACGTTGCGTGTTGCGTGGTGCGTATCGGGGCAGCTAAGACTGGTCTTGGATGCCAGGCACTTTGGGATACCAAGCCCGTTCAAGGCCGATCGTGTTTTGTCAAGGGTTCTGTTGTCGCACATGGTTTATTCTCTTAGGCCCGAGCGCGCACCATAATTTCAATGGCCTGCCAGGTGCAGCCGAAAATCCCCCTCAAGAAGTCCGACGAGGCCGAGGCCCCAAAGAGCGGAGTTGAGAAGTACAAGCCCCTGATCTCAGAGATCTACGAGAAGCACAACAAGGAGAAGCTAGGCGAGATTGACGACATCCTCGCGAAGTACAAGGGTAAGGAAAAGACGCTGTACCTGGCCGTGTGCCACAAGTACAACATCGAGCCGAAGGTGCCCGCGAAGAAGGACAAAGGGGACAAGGACAAGAAGGGCGCGGACGACGAGGCGCAGAAGGCAGAGGAGGAGCGCATCGCCAAGGTCAAGCCTCTCATTCGAGAAGTCTATGCGGAGCACAACCCCGCCAAGCTGGAGGACGTGGACCAGCTCCTCTCGAAGTACAAGGGGCGCGAAGAGCAGCTCTACTTCGGAGTCTGTGAGGGCCTCAGTTTGCCGCCTGCGGCGATTGCTGCAACCACTCTGATCGATACGGCTCCGATCAGCGTTCGTTCGTCGTGTGCGATGCACGGCATACGGTCAGGACTTCTAGCTGAGCGCATTGCGCCGCCAGTTCTGCCCCACCGCGCTTCGGCGCGACACGCTGACCAATTCGGGGCTCCGAGCGTCCACGTGCCGAGCTTTTCCCATCCTCCCTCCCCGCGGAGCAGGGCAACACGCTATCCGCTCGCGGGGCGTGGCGCGTCGCCGGGGCCGCCGCAGCGACACGCTGAGCAGACGTCCCCGACCGCATGCGAGCTTCCATCGTGGCAGGCAGGTCCAGGGCCACACGAGCTGCTGGATGGGTTGCTTCGGCTCAACTGCTCGTTCGGTTCAGCTCCCTGGTTCGACTTACAGTAGCAGGACCGAGGTATCAGATGAAGGTCGGCTCGGGGAGGGTACCACCGTAAGTTTCTTCGTGCTTGTTGGTTGTTCTTGTGCATCCTGTGGAAAGGGCACCCTCGGGGACCCTCGAATGTTCTTCAGTTGGGGCCAGCGGAGGGTCTCATGTTCTTGAAGGATGTTCTCCTGTCCAAGGTCCGACTGTCATTCAGATGGAAGTTTCGGCGGGGACCCTTGCAGGCAGGCGCGCTTTGCAGCACTCGCCAGGGCGGCCGTCATCGTTGGCCTCTGTAGCGACGGGAGTGCGACGGCCGACGGCTCGTGGCAGCTGCGCTGCATTTTCGGACATCGGGCGGTTGATGCCCCGCGGGGAGGGTGACGTCAGGCTGCGAGGTCTGGAGCCGGTAAAGAGCAAAACCGCGCACAGGGAGACGAGCAAGGTGGTGCAGTACGGTGCACTTCACCACGCTGGGCTGCACTGCAAGGCAAAGCGAGACTCGAAGCAGAGCGGCACGAGAAGCGTCGAGGCAGCGCCCTGTGATGTGGCAGCTAGTTCTCTTTGCAATCAGCTCGGCTGCGGCTTGCTCTCAGCAACAGCTTGTCATAATGGCTCCAGGTTGCCGAACTTTACTTAATCTTGAGTCGGGCACGTCCCTCTACAGGAGGAACATTCAAACATACTCAAACATGGTACGGGAACGAAGTTTTGACTATGTTTGACCATTTGGGGCATGTTTTGGGTATGTTTTATTTTTCCTCCAAAATCTGCCTGTAGGGGGCCCGCCCGACCTAAATTTAATATTGGGTGGTCGCGCTGGGCTCCTATCGGCAACTGCTCGTGCGGCGGGGTTGCCCTTCAGACACATCGTGGACGCCTGTGTGGCGGGGGCGCCCTTTAGAATGCTTGCCTGTCCAGGCAGGGGGAGCCAAATACATATTTGGGCGCAGGGAGGAGGGAGAGGAGCAGGAGGGGGGGCATCATCCCCTTGGAACTCTCACATCGACAGCGCCAGCGCCAGCAGGAGGGGGAGGAGGCGAATGATCAGGATCTGATAAGGATCAGGAGGAGGTAGATGAGGAGGTCGAGGAGCACAAGCATGAGGAGGAGGAGGAGGAGGAAGAAGAGGATGATGATGATGATGATGATGATGATGATGATGATGATGATGATGATGATGATGATGATGATGATGATGATGATGATGATGATGATGATGATGATGATGATGATGATGAGGAGGAGGAGGAGGAGGAGGAGGAGGAGGAGGAGGAGGAGGAGGAACAGCAGCAGCAGAAAGAAGAGGAGGACGATGAGGAGCAGCAGCAGCAGCAGCAGCAGCAGCAGCAGCAGCATCAGGAGCAGCGCCAAGAGTAGGAGCAGGAACAGACCAGGACAAGGGCGAGGAGGAGGAGGAGGAGGAGGAGGAGGAGGGGGAGGAGGAGGGGGAGGAGGAGGAGGAGGAGGAGGAGGAGGAGGAGGAGGAGGAGGAGGAGGACAGCGCCGACGACGAGGAAGGTCGAGGTAGGACGAAATGTGATCAGGAGCTACGGCCACGGCAAAGTGCTCGATAGGCCACAGACCACTCGCGATTCGGGCCCTCGACCAGTCGCGGCTTCCCGTGCAGCCCGCGATCCGCTGGAGCCCTGCGCTGAGCGGCCACGACCCTCCGATTGCCCAGGCGAGAAGTACGGCGTGGAGCCCAAGATCCCCAAGCCAGCCCCTGCAGAGCCTCCTGCCGCTGATGCGGCTGGCCCGCCTGACAACGCAGGCGGGAGGGTGGGACCGCCCGCTTGCCTGGGGTCCGGCCCCTGTGTTTTTGTCCCACGCCCGTTTTCTCGCCCGCCTTGGCCCATCGCTTCCGCTGGTCGCCGAGGCCTGGCGGAACGCTCGCCATCCCTCATCGTCTCCTCGCGGTCTCCCCGTCGTCCTCCCTTGTTTTCCGCCTTCCTGCCCTCCCATCCCCCCCCTGCCCTCTCCCTTCTTCCCCTCCGATCCCTTCCTTCCCTCTCCTCGCCCATCACGTCCTTCCTTCGCCCCGTCTCTGCGGCGCCTCACTTCCCTCCCGCTCCTCCCTTTTGCCTCGGGCACCTCCCTCCTCCTTCTCCCCTCCTCCTCCTCCTCTTCCTCCTCCTCCTCCTCCTTCTCCCCCTCCCCCTCCATCTCCACCTCCTCCCCCTGGTGCTCCTTCTCCTCCTCCTCCTCCTCCTCCTCCTCCTTCTCCTCCTCCTCCTCTTCCTCCTCCTCCTCCTTCTCGTCCTCCTCCTCCTCCTCGTCCTCCTCTCCCTGCTGCTGCTCCTCCTCCTACTCCTCCTCCTCCTCCTCCTCCTCATCCTCATCCTCTTCCTCCTCCTCGTTCTCCTCCTCCTCCTCATCATCCTCCTCCTCTTCTTCCTCCTCCTCTCCCTCTTCTGTCCGTGGCCATTTTGGCTCCAGATGCCCGCTTCCCGCGGGGTGGAGTGGACACCGGTGATCCGCGGCCAGACCTCGGTTCTTGGTGAGCTCCTGGTGGAGGCGACATTCCTTCCCTCCATCTCGGCAGACGGGGTGGTGGGTAAACCGATGCATTTCCAGTCCTTGCCGCTATCTGCCGCCAGCCACATGCCAGACGCTCTCGCCAACCGCAACAAGAATGCAGCCAGGGCCAGTGGCTCTCCTGGTGTTTCTGGCCCTTTTTCTCCTGTGCGCATTCTTCCCCAAGGTGATTCGCAGGGACGTGACGATGAGCGTTCCAGGTCTCGTCGTTCCGCCACCGAGGAGAGCGACGATGGCATGGGCCCGACTTCCTGTGACCCGTATATCACAGGATATTCATGGATGAAATGTTTTCCTCCGAGTTCACGGAGTTCAGAGTCGAGCTGGGTGAGCCCATGGCGGGGCCCGCCAAAACAAGTTCTGACAGCACAACATAGATCCCGTCCTCGCAGCGATCAGGGCATTGTGAGCCGCCCTTCCACAAATCCCAGATTCACGCAGGACGGATGTGAAGAAATCTATCAGGCCCGACATCGACTCCATTGCCCGCCGCGTCCAATAATTACCAACTCGACATAATCGCGATGACGGTTGGCACATCGGACAAGAAGACCACAGACCTTGCCAAGCAGATCGACGGCATGCGCGCCTGCCTGGGCGACATACGGAAAGAGCTCGCGATGGCGAGTCGTGCCCCCCCGCCACCACGTATGGATACGACTTCCTTGAAGCGGGACGTGGGCGGCACAATTCTCAAAGTGGTGGCCCCAACCATCGTGCGAAGGAATGATGTGGTTGCCTCTATCGAGGCGTGGCTCAAGACGGCTGACACCATGGATGGCTTCGCGGTCGACGGGGAGGACATGAACGAGATCTTCTCGGCGTAACTCACGGGTGCTAGCGGCATCGCTTGCAAGAGGGTGCAGAAGGCGCCGGCGGCTCTCCGCCTCCCTGGGCAAAGCCATTGTGCGAGGCGCGCGGGGCCCCGGCGGCCGGGCGCGCCATTGTTTTTCGAGGCGGCGCTTCGCGCGGGGGCCTGGCAGCGGGGGCGCGCCGAAATAGAAACGAAACATGTTATTCATCGTGTTCGTTCGGAGTTTCAGTCAGTCTGCAGTTGCAGTTTTTTTTGGTACGGGGGTTTGGAAATGCACCGCTGTTTGCTTGCTTGCTGATTAAAACGGGCTGGTGTTTGAAATCGACGCTGCTTGCGTCCATTCGCCCGTCCTTTCTAGAGGGGTCAGATTTTGCACCGGGTTAGCTTGCTAATTTCCTGGGGAGTCTTTGTGTGTGTGGAGTCGCTGCCCCAATTCCGTTGGCATCTTGGAATGCTCGGGCTCTTCTACGTTGGCGCGGACAGATGGCCATGCAGAAGGCCGCTTGCCCGCGCAGAACTGGCATCGCGAACGCGATTTTCGCCACGCAAGAAATCCACCTGGACCTCGACGGGCCCAAGATCTGCATGACAAGGGTCGCCTCCGACTCGAGCGCGTCTTGGTCCTTAGAGAAAGTCAGGGAAGGCCGCGATCGCGGTAGCGTTGCTATTGTAGTCCCTCTTGCTTCGGCATTAGCCCCCTCCTTGGCGTCTGCTCCGGTTGCGGGGAGAGCGTCGAAGACAGTTTTGCGGCAGGCCCATGCGGAAGTCCGACATTTCAGCGTGCAGATTCATGGTCGCATGCTGACAGAGTCGCAGCACTCGTAGCACCAGCAGCGCCGCCAGCGCTCAGCTCGCTCAATTGCGCGGCGAGGGCGCCCCCCCGCGCTGAGTTGCGCGGCGCAGTTCCCCCCTTCCCGAAGGCGCGCGTCGCGAAGGATAAGCGTGGTTTGGTCGAGCGTCTCCGTCTTCCTGGCGGTGTTCGAAGGTACGTTGCTTCCTGCTGCTCTGGCAGTTGGGGCGATCCGAAGCATCGGTCTATCGAGTGCGCGATGCGGCCCACGCTGGTCAGATTAGTTGTCTGCATTCACCTTGCGCACCCACGCTGCCCGGCCCACTGGGGCGCGGCGGCTGGCAGGATGGCTCACCTCGCGCAGGGCATTTTCGCACGATGGGCCTAGAAAGTGATTCGTCGGTTGCGAGAAGTAGAGCGAGGAGCTCGGCCACTACGTCGGTTGCAAAGCGCTGGCGTGGGCTGCGGAGTCTGGGCCAATATTTCTTCCCGCGGACCCACTCGCCAGTCTGGGACTGGCAGACTTCTTTGAGCAAGGGCTTGAGGGCCACCAGCTGGCGAGCGGCATCCTCTGCGAGTTCAGGCGCTATGTCGTCGTGCTTCCTTGGGGCGCTTCGCGCCGCCGTTCGCGGCGCCCCTGGGCCTCGCGCGCCAGCAGTTCCACGCGTCGCGACGAGGCACCAGCAAGACAGCAAGTCGGCGAAACCCGCGACTGCGGGCGAGCTACTTGAGATGGACTGTTCGGCCAGATCTCATACTGACGCACTTGATCGCGATGGCTGCGCTCTCTCAAAGGGCCCCATCGCTCGTCTGGCGGGCGAACGCCCCCCAGCACCCCGCGCCAGGGCGAGGCCAGCAACGACCGCAACCTCTTGCTTGCGTGGCGCATTCCTTTCGCCAAAGCACAGCTGCGGCGCGCTCGGTGCGACCACGTGCTCGCCCAGGCGGACAAATGAACCTGCGCTGGCGTCGCGGCGATCATTGCGGTCGAACATTGCAGAGAGGCCCAGTTGCAAGCGGCTCAGCAGAGGGCGGAGCACATGGAAAGCTTGCGGGCGCAAGCTCACGGCGAGCACGGGGCCGCGCTCGCCCGCCGCCGCGCGCTGTTCGACCGCCTCGACGGCTGGCCTCTTCAGGGCGGAGTTCTTCCTCGGAGATGGTTAAATGGCAGCCGCCAGATTTTCTGGCAATTGGTTAAAGGCATACGTTTCAGACTGGTGGCTCTCCAAACTGTTCGCGGCCTCAATCGACTTCATCAACTTGCTCGCGCTCTTCCTCCGACGCTGAGGGCGCTGAGTCTTCTCTGACGCCTGCCCCCGCGTCTGCGGGTCCGGCGCGCGCGGCTCTCTCAATCTGCTTCCTCCGCTCGGCGTTGCCGCTGCCCATGCTGGGCCCGGCGCTGCGCGGGCGCGATGCTCTTTTCAGCGGTGGTCTGCCGAACTGGCGTCCGCCGCTGGTCAGAGCGACCAGCTGGGCGGCCAAGTGGGCCCCGACGACCCGAGGCGTGGCGCGGCGCAAGAGCGACTGCGAGTGGTGGGGCGAGTGGCATGTTCAAGTTATTGCCGATGCGCAGACAGTGAGATCCTGCAGCCTGGCCCCCCCGCCGACGGGCGCGCCTGCTCTTCGCAGGTGGCCGATTGCAAAGGACATATTTCTGTGTGCATGGCCTTTCTCTGAGCAAGATCGAGCGCGCCTTGCCCTTCATCTCACTTCGAGGTCCCCTCATATCGGTCGCGCAGCTGACCTTCGTCGTCTTCCTGGTGGGCTTCTGGGCAATGGCGCGGAGAGGTAAGGTTCTTCCCCGTCGTTCGCTTCGCTGCCTCCCACGACGGCCATGGGCAAACCTCCGCTGGTTTCGCTCGGGGGGCGAGGAGCTGCTGATTCAGTGTGCGCACGCAACCATGTGGAGGGGTGCGCGGGGCAATGGTTCTTCATGGCGGAGGGTAAGGTTTGGCAAGATAGGATGATTGGACTGACTATTGTGATCCCTACATGGTGATGGCCCTCAATTCGACGCACCTCATCTAGCTGTGGTCAAGAGCCACCCTCGTGCTAGCGACGGTGCGGAGCTCTCTTTCGCTGCGGGCTCGTGACCTTTGCGAATCGATCTCGGCGCGCACCGACCGCCCGCGGAGGCGGCCCATGGGGGCGATGGCCAACCTTCGCCCTGGGCCGTGGCAGCGCGGGTCTGACTTCCCAAATCAAGCTGTTCTTGCAAGACGCAACCACGTGCAGATCAGGGGCATGCCCAACCCTACGAGATCGCCATTACCTACGTCCTCGAATGCTACGTCCCCGAAATGCTAATGCTGACGGTGGTGACGACCCTCCTGATGCCGAACAGCCGATGGAGTTCTCGAGTGCTGACTGGGCCGCCTCGCTCATGTGTTTGTCCAGCGAAGCTGAGTCGAGCTTTGACAACGGCAGCATCTTAACGGTCTCTTTTGCGACAAGCCGCAAGCAACCCAACGATTTGATCGAGAAGTTGTTCACAGTTGCGCGGGGCTCTGGCCCTGGCGAGTACGACCCCACTCTCCGAGTGGAGAGCTCGCGGCGTGGACTTTCTGACCGCGCTACGGCACGGGCATCGTCGTGGAGCCCACTGGCGTGCTATGGTGAACAGGTTGACAACTTCCACGCGTGGTTGGACTGGAGCGTGGATTGCGCCCTCAGGGTCTCGCGCCGCCGACAGTTCACGACTCCTGCGGGAAATGCCTCGCGAATGGGTGGCAATTGGCGATGGCGAGCGGCGGAGGGGATCTCGTTGGCAGCCCGGCGCGCGTCGGCTATCTCTCGCGAGCAACTGCGCCAGCATCTCGACGCGGAGCTTTCTGGCATGGACCCAGCCAGGATTAGTCTTGTTCGCCGAGATGCTCTGGCTCATCTAGCTGGGCGGTGCGTGGCCCTTCCAGAGTGCCATTCGACCATCGTGCTCGCTGTCCCAGACGCATCGGCCGCGGGCTCGCTCCCCCCCTCCCCGCCGATGCGATTCCCAGGCTCCGTGCCTCGTTGGAAGAAGGGCCAAGGGGCATGGAAAGGATGGTGCCGACCCGACTGACTTGCGCTCAGTTCTTTCATCATGCGCCCCCCCTTCGCGCCACCAGTTCGCATCTATGCTGAGGAGGCTTCGCGAGCTCGGTGCGCCGAGGGCTCATCCCTCTACGGGGGCTGATCTGGGAGCGATGGCAGCGCTGATCGGTGATGGGGCGCGCGTTCTTCCTCCAACTGCTCATTTCGAGGACGATGCGATGTCGGACGACACGTGGGGGTGTGGCAAGTGGTGCACCAGGTGTTTTGCGGTGGCCAGCGGGTAGTTCTGACGACCCTGTTCCGCATCGGCATGCAATTGATCCAGGTGTTGCAGCTGCGCCTGTGTTGGGGCTGGTTGGCATGGGTGATGGCAGACCTGCGGTTCCTGCGCTTGGATCAAGTGATGCAGCATGTCTTGATTTCCCAGCAGATGGCGTTCCTGCGTTGGTTTCTGATGGGCCCGCACGCACTGCAACAACCTTCTCTCCTCGCGTTCCACCAGCAGCGCCTGAATTTCCTGACCCGTCATGACGACACCCTGGCCTGCGCGCTCACATCGACCGCAGAGAGACAGGGGGCTTCTATACGATGGTGATGCATGCTTCGACGGGTGCGACGACGCTCTGACCACGGTCGGCCTCAACGCGACCCCTGAACTGCCTCCTGGCAGATCGATGGCTGGAGTTGCCATGTCGGGCAGTGCCTCTATCTACTACGGCTGTTTCGGGTCATGCTCGCGCCCCCCCCACCCCACGCGCCTTGGCGTTCGTGGCGCACGTGCCACCGGCACGGCTGATGGTGCAGTCGGTCTGGCGCATGATGGTGGTCCTAGCAGACCCGAGTGACGACTCCTCACTCGCGGACGCTATGGAATGGCACGCCGAGTTCTTAGGTCGGCTATGCACATGAGACCGACGTCCTCGCCAACACGATGGACCAACATGCGTATTTGCTTGCACAAGCTGATGATGAAGCCGATGGTGCTGCTACGCCGATCAGCGGGCACGTTCTTCTCATGGATATCGATGTGGCCAGCTTGTCCTGAGAGCACTTAGATGACACAATTGACGGCTCCTCCATCGCCGTCCCCAACTAGACGGGCAACGGCTTCACCTTCGACAACACCTTCGAGGAACAGGTCGACCCCGTCGACGAGGCCCTGAGTGGCCCCGCCGCCCGCGGTCTCTCGTGTGGCGTGAGTGGGGACCTTCTCTGTGTCGTGGGTTCCTCCTCCTTTGCTTGCTTCACCTCCTCTTCCTCGTCTTCCCTCTTATTATCCACCTCCTCTTCCTCCTCCTCGTGCTCCTCCTCCTCCCCCGAGCAAGTTCCTTATGAATGATGCTTCCCTGTCGCACTTCGGGTCCAGTCGGAGGGGCGGGCCCGGCGTTTCGCTTGAGACTTCTTTACCATGTATCAGCCTCAAGCTGAAAAGCTGGCAACAGCTTCGCAGATGAAAGGCGGGTGGTTTTCGAACTGTGGCTCGTCTTAGCGCCGCGCCATTTGTTTGAAAACATACACCAGCTTCACGAATTGAGGGTGGGTTGCGCCGTGCGCATTCGTTTGACAAGTTTGACAGATTTTCACGGTTTGAGAGCGGGTAGTTTTGAACATCTGGTTCTCGTCTTAGCGCCGTGTCCATTCGTTATAACAAATCGTAGCAGCTCAACGGGTTGAGGGTGGTTCATTTTCAAAATGTGGTTCTCGCCTTCGCGCCGCCCGCAGTCGTTTTCAAGCTTTACACGATTTCAAGTAGTTCTCATGGTTGAAGTACCACAAACAATGTGTTGGAGCGATTCAGGATTACCAAGGCGCAGAACTTACGTTTATTCGCGGTGTTGAAATGCCAGGAATGGTGTTATGGCGCGATTCAGGACCGTCAAGACGCAACGGTCTGGTTCACTCGTGGCGTTGAAGTCATGATGATGGTGTTTTGGCGCGCGTCAGAATTTTCACACGGCTGTCCCCCAACGGGCCATTTCCCGCAGTTGAAAGAAATCCTTGTGTGGGTCTTTGATGAGGGGGCTTGGAGGGGGAGTGGATTCCAACATCGTTGGTGGGTCTTGGGTTAACGCTGGTCCTCCTCTTCTCCTTCCTCCTCCTCCTCTTCTGATCGTCCCCCTCCTTATCCTTCTCCCCCTCCTTCGACGCCTGGCCACCAGCGTCGCCCCGACCGCGCAAAGCGCACGGCACGCGACACCTCCGAAGTCCGTTTCAAGTCCCCCCGTACCGTTTCCACGTCTCCTCGCTCTTCCCTGACGACATTCGAGGAGGAAACACATCCATACAACTAGATTGTTGGAATTCCGCGCGGTTTTTTCGGATCGGCGCTGGAGCCCTCTGGTCGCGCCTCCTGTGCCGCCCATGGCGCGTTCCGCTCGCCAGATTTGGGGTCCAGCGCCGATCCAAGAAATCCGCGCGGAATTCCGACAGCTGATGATTATGCCGTTTTTTGTGTCTCCATCCTCGCTCTTCCCGGTCGATCTCGCCCCGCTCTTCTCCTCTCTCTCCCGATCCCGATAATGGTGCGCCTCGCCTGGAGAGCTGCCGCCCGATGTTGTCGTCCCTGGGGGTGCCCTCGGAACTCAGGTCCTCGAGGTTCCAGTCGAATGGGTGTTGCATGCCTCCGCACGTGGTGCAGGAACTGGACCACCGATCACCGGCTCCAGCAATAATCGCACGCTTGTCGTCGGGCGCAGCGCATGGGATGATCTACGAGATTTGCACATACGATCACTTCAACACGTGCTGGTCTTTGCCCCTGGAGAGACCCCTACCAGGGCGCCCAGCTGCCAAACTCGCCCTGTTAGACCCCTCCCCCCTGGGCATCGAGAGGATGGTCGCCGCTTTCAATGTCCACAGGATTCTTTGTCTGGCCCCAGGCCCCCGCCTACAGTGGAGACCCATGCCAAGAAACACCCTGCTTGACTCCAGGGTGCCGTGGGTTTCTTGGGGTTCGATGGTTTTGCGATGGAAAGCGTGACGTTCCCACACCAAAAATCGATGGACGTCGTGGGGTCTCAGGGTTGGGTTTCTTGCGGACTGGCCTGCACTGTACCCCAGCACGCCTCCAGCAGATTTCCGAAGCTGTGCGGGCCCCGGCTTGAAAGGTTTGGGCGTGGTGTGCGGGTGTGAAAGCATACCCTTCCTCCGTGGCTTCCCGATGCGTTTCGCCGCCACAGACATCTGTACACAGACACCCTCCAATGGATCGTTCCTGGGACCCGGGGGGAGAGGGCGGTGTACAGATCACCGCGGGGAGCCAGGGACTTCAAACACAGCCGCCCTCCCTGAGGGCACACGCAAAATGCGTCGGGGGGCGTCCGTGCACACATTTTCGTGGCGCGATTTCTGCCCCCAAATCCGCCCATGGATTGGCCCTTAGGGCCGACGCCGTCCACGGAGTGACCTTCAGGGCCGATCCTCCGATAGAGTGACCTCTTCAGAGCCAATTCGCCCACGGCATAACATTCGGGTGCTGCTGACTCAGTCTTTGCAGATTCGGTTTATCGCCCTCTGTCCTCCTCCTCCTCCTCCTCCTCCTCCTGACTCGGCGTTTACAGTATCAGTTTATCGCCCTCGGTACAGGGTTAGCATGCACGCGCAGGAGCACCTCATGGACGGTCGGACCAAGGTCTAAGTCCGAGGTCGGCTCGGGGATGGTACCCTAATGCTCTTCGTGTCTGTTGGATGTTCCTTGTGCATCCTGGGGGGGCACCCTCGAAAGTTCTTCAGTTTGGCCCGGCGGAGGGCCTCATGTTTTTGAAGGTTGTCTTTCTGGCCTAGGTCCGGCTGCAAACGTAAAGGTGACCTTTCGCCGGAGTGACCTTGGGTGCGGGCCCAAGGGGGCCGCCCGATCGCCGAGCGTCTGCCCCCCCCGCGGCCCCCCGCAAGCAGCCGCGCACCAAATGTCACTCTTACCCGGGGTCACTCTTGCGTGTGGCCGAAAGTGTGTCACACGGGGCGCTCTCGCCTGGTGCCAGGCCCCGAGACCATCACACATCGATCCAGAGATCTGGCTGTGACGCTCTTGCCCCCCCACCCCGCCCCGAGGCGCCACGGCCGCAGCAGAGCCGCCCTCGAGCGCGGCTCCGACCTCCACGGCGCTCGTGCCGGCCGCCCCGCAGCAAGGGGCCGCCTCGCAGGCGGCGGCAACCGTGGCCCCGGGGGTGACGACGACGACGACGACGACGACGACGACTGACGACGACGACGACCACGACGACGACGACGACGACGACGACGACGACGACGACGACGACTGACGACGACGACGACCACGACCACGACGACGACGACGACGACGACGACGACGACGACGACGACGACGACGACGACGACGACGACGACTGACGGAGTGACGGAGCGACGGAGCGACGGAGCGACCGACGACAAGCGACGACCGACGACTGCCGTCGGCGACCGTCGCTGCCGCCGTCGCCGCCGCCGTCGGACCCCCCCGGCCGCCGAGGAGCGCGGCGCCGAGTGTTTTTCGCCCTCGTCGGGCTCCCGGGGCCTCCGCGGGGACAACGAGCGCACGAGGAGGAGCCAGGCTTCAAGAGAGGCCCGGGGTCCAGGGGCCCGCTTCCACCAGGACACCTCTGTCACCTCTGTCGTTCCCGCGGCTGGTCCAAGAGAAGAAGGACGAAGTCGGGCATGTCCCTCTACGGGAGGAGTATCCAACAGTAGTAAAAGAACTGTCTGGGGACGGCTTTTCGAATATTCCAATATTTCTGATTTGTTTGAATATTTTTTGAATGATCAACCCAGGATAATCAACCCCAGCGATAAACAAGTTCAGGGCGCCAGAGGGAGGAGGAGGAGAAAGAAATAGAGAGACAGAGAGAGAGAGAGAGACAGAGAAATAAAGAAAGAGAGACAGAAAGAACTACAAAGAGACAGAAGGACATTGGTTTCGTTTGAGACATCCTGAAACAACGTGTTCGCCTCGCTTGATGTTGTTATCTCAACATAAGAAGGAAGTAACCTCGATGGCGAACTTTTCCCGTGATAATGAAGTTCGGCCTCCGCGCCCCCGCGCCCCCGACCAAACAAACTCTTATTGGTCGACGATAAAAAACTCTAACGACTTATGGGGGGGGTACATTATTATCGTGGGTAGGCGGTTATTTGACTATTCGACTATTTTCTATTTTTCCTCCAAAATCCGCCTGTAGGGGGACATGCCCGATCTAAGGTGATCTAAGACCAGGATGAGGATCGGCTCGTGGCTCGGCGCTCCGGCCAGGGCCAGCGGGGCATCGTTTGCTTCTGCCTGCGGCAGTCAGCATGACATTGCATCGGGCGTCCTCCTCCTCGGCAGCAGCAGCCGCCTTCGCCTCCTCGTGTTCATTTTTCCCGTCCTCGTCCTCCTGCCACTGTTGCTGCTGCTTTCCTCATCCCTCTCTCCCCTGCGGGGCGGAGTTCCTCGGCGGTTCTCATACAGTATACCGTGCCTTGAGACACGGGCAGTGCTCGCGTGGCCGCGTTACTGCGGCCGCGGCCGCAAGAATGCAGCAGCTGCTCGTGCAACCAGCGGGATATCCAGGACCTCGTCGGGCAACTGCCCAGCCGGCTGACCCCGGGCTCCTCCTCGGCCTCGGCCTCCCCCGCGCCCTTCTCCTTGTCCGTCGCTGGGGGGCGCGGGGGGGGAGCCGCGCACCCACACGCAGCGAAGGCGTCGGAGGCCAGGCACGCCTGCAGGTTGCCAGGTGCGCCCCGTCGCCGGGGCAGCACGTCCTCCCGGAAGGGCGCACCCGCGGGAGCTCGTCTGCCGGCCCCTGGGCCCCTCGCCTGCCGGCCAGGGTCCTCCTCGGCGTCCTCCCGTAGGTGGGCAGTCAGTTCGAACCCGGCGGCGCAGGATGCCCCCCCCCGGACCCCCAAAAATCATGTTGAGGGTGCGGCAATGGAGAGGGCATGGGTGGGCAGAATTTTTTTTGAACCCCCAAACCACCACCCATGCTAAAATCAACATTGATATCGGGGGCCGGGGGGATGAACATCCCCCTCAAGCGTGTAAGGGTTCGAAGTTGTTGTCCATATGTTGTCCACATGGGGGGGAAGCACGAGAGCCCAGAAGATATGGACAAACATGGGGAATTCTGGCATTTGTGTATGTTCATTTGAGGCGGCGTTACAAAAAGGGCCTTGCGTTCGAGGACAGAAGGAGTTGTCATCTCTTCCGCCGCGGAAGGCGGCGGAAGGTCGGCGGACGTAAAACGGAGCCGCCTCCGCCTGCGGAAGCTCGGCGGAAGGCGGCGGAAGTGAAACGTGTCTCCCCAAGAAATGAAAACGTTTTTGGGTTCAGGGTTTCCGAAATCCGCCCTTTCTGTGACCCTGGGCCCCTTCCCAGTGTCCCCTCTCGGTCCAGAAGAGGCGCTCTCCTCGAGCTCGCATCGCCGTGCCCGCGCCCCCCCCACGGGCGTCGTCTGCTCCACAGGGGCCGGAGGGCAGCGCCCGATCAGGTGGGACTCATCCATTATCGTCCTGCTTCTCCTCCTCCTCCTCCTCCCTCCTCCTCCTCCTCCTCCTCCTCCTCCTCCTCCTCCTCCTCCTCCTCCTCCTCCTCCATCTCCTCCTCCCTCTCCTCCTCCTCCTCCTCCTCCTCCTCCTCCCCTCCTCTCCTCCTCCCCTCCTCCTCCTCCTCCTCCTCCTCCTCCTCCTCCTCCTCCTCCTCCTCCATCCTCCTCCTCCTCGTCCTCCTCCTCCATCCTCCTCCTCCTCCTCCTCCTCCTCCTCCTCCTCCCTCCTCCTTCCTCTTCCGCCTCCTCTCTCCTTCCTCCTCCTCCTCCTCCTCCTCCTCCTCCTCCTCCTCCCTCCTCCTCCTCCTCCTCCGCCTCTGCTCCTCGTCCTCGTCCTCGTCATCCTCCTCCTCGTTCTCCTGCTCCATCCTCCTGCTCCTCCTCCTCCTCCTCCCCCTCCCTCCTCGCCTCCTCCTCCTCCCTCCTCCTCCTCCTCCTCCTCCTCCTCTCCTCCTCCTCCTCCTCCTCCTCCTCCTCCTCCTCCATCTCCTCCTCCATCTCCCTCCTCCTCCTCCTCCTCTCCTCCTCCTCCTCCTCCTCCTCTCCTCCTCCTCCTCCTCCTCCTCCTCCCTCTCTCCTCCTCCTCCTCCTCCTCCTCCTCCTCCTCCTCTCCTCCTCCTCCTCCTCCTCTCCTCCTCCTCCTCCTCCTCCTCCTCCTCCTCCTCCTCCTCCTCCTCCTCCTCCTCCCTCCTCCTCCTCCTCCTCCTCCTCTTCCTCCTCTCCTTCCCTCCTCCTCCTCCTCCTCCTCCTCTCCTCCTCCTCCTCCTCCTCCTCCTGCTCCTCGTCCTCGTCCTCGTCCTCCTCCTCCTCGTTCTCCTGCTCCATCCTCCTGCTCCTCCTCCTCCTCCCCCTCCTCCTCGTCCTCCTCCCTCCTCCTCCTCCTCCTCCTCCCTCCTCCCCTCCTCCTCCTCCTCCTCCTCCTCCTCCTCCGCCTCCTCCTCCTCCTCCTCCTCCTCCTCCTCCTCCTCCTCCTCCTCCTCCCCCTGCCCCTTCCCCTCCTCCTCCTCCTCCTCCTCCTCCTCCTCGCCCTCCTCCAGCGCCCGATCAGGTGGGGCTGCGGCAGGTATACTGCGACTTGATACGGGACGTCTACAAGGAGCACAACCCCGCGAAGTGGAAGCCCGAGGGACGCGCGGATCGGCCGAGAGTCAGAGGAGAGGAGGAGCAAGAGGCAACGATAATCATTATTGACGCTTCGCGTATCCCCACCAGCCCATCCAGAAACGATCAGCAGGGGAGTCGGTGAATCAGGGGCGGCAGGACGCATGCAGTTGCGCAGCCGTCTTCGGGAAACCAAGGATCACAAAGAGCTTCCCGCATTGAAGTTTAAGATGAAAATCAGTGCAAGCTACGATGGTGCTTCGATGAGGGGTGAGGGGTGTTTCGATGACTCGTAATGTCAGTTGCACTGATTTGTATCTTAAGCTCGCGTGCGTTTCGAAACTTGTAGCCATGTTGGGGCTCTCTTGGGGTTCTCTAGGGACCCTCTTGGGGCCCGCCTGGAGATCTTTCTTGGGGCTCTCTTGAGGTCCTCGTAGGGCCTTCTTGGAGCCCTTTTGGGGCTCCTTTGGGGCGTCTTGGGGCCCTCTTGGGGCTCATTTGGGGGGTCTGGGGGTCTTCTTGGGGCTCTTTTGGAATGCCTGAGGGGCCTCTTGGGGCCGTCTTGGACCCTTTCTCTCAAAAAGAGGGTGGTTCCCATTCCCATCGCCCCCTCGGAGGCTCAGAAATGCCGTCTTGGGGCCCTCTTGGGCCGCTCTTGGAGCGCTCTTGGGCGCTCTTGGGGCCCTCTTGGACCCCTCTTGGGGCTATCTCGGGCCGTTTGGGGGCCATCTTGAGGACTCAAGAGCCCATCGGAGGCGAAAAAGCGAGAAGGCAAAACACATTGATGTTCGTTAGGTTTTTGAAGGATGTTGGCCTCTTGGGGGGTCCTCGGAGGCCTCGGACAGCACTTGAAACACTCCCGGGGCCGTCTTGAGGCCTCTTGGACGTGTGTCGGAGGCTATCTTGACCCATCTACCGCTATCTTGGGCCATCTTGGAGGCCATCTTGCGCTCTCTGAGGCCCTCTTGGAGCCATCTTGGGCCATCTTGGACGCTGCTATGGGTCGGCCCCCCCCCGTCCAAACGCATGGAGGGGGGGGGGAAGGTAAACCTCCCGAGCAGGGAAAGGCAGGAGGTTGGAAAAGGAAACGCTCTCGACCACCTGCGCCCAGAGGGCTGGTGGGATACTTCCCAGGATTCCCCATGCTTCTTGACGTTCCACGCGTGCTGCAGAAACGAGGGCCGGTAGACATCTGGGAGGTTCTGGGGCATGTCCTGAGCCAATGTTATCATGGCACCACTCTCGCCCCAAGGGGGGTCCCCGATCGGCGATGAGTTCTCGATCGATGCCTGGAGGAGGAGGAGGAGGACGAGGACGAGGACGAGGAGGAGGAGGAGGAGGAGGAGTAGGAGGAGGTGGAGGAGGAAGAGGAGGAGGAAAATGGAGGAGGAGGAGGAGGAGGAGGAGGAGGAGGAGGAGAAGAAGAAAAAAAAGGGGGGACGCGCGCCTGCGCATTGCCGCAGTAAGAGCGAGGCGGGCCGCGGCGTTCCCCCTCGAGAGACGACGGGGCCCAACGCCACAGGAGGGTAGGGAAAAGCCATCAGAGCACGCCCCAGGCGTTTGTCTCCAAGATCTCGAGGGGGGCTTCACAGCTCCCTCCTTCCCTCTGTGTCTCCACCTTCCTCTCCTCCTCTGCTCTCCCACCTTCCTCTTCCTCCTGCCTCTCTCATTCCCTCCGCCCCTTTCTCCATATCGGGCTCCTCCTCGCTCCTCTTCTTTCTCATCTCTTCACGTACTTCTCCTCCTCTCAACGCTCCTCCTCCTCCTCCTCCTCCATCCTCCTCCATCCTCCTCTCCTCCTCCTTCTCATCATCAGCATCATCATCATCATCATCATCATCATCATCATCATCATCATCATCATCATCATCATCATCATCATCATCATCATCATCATCATCATCATCATCATCATCATCATCCGCCTCCTCCTCCTCCTCTTCCTCCTCCTCGTGCCGCTCCTCCACCTCCTCCTCTTCGCCTTACCGCTCATGCTCCTCCTGCCATTCGCGGCTTGGATCGGTTCTGCTGCTGCTCTGCTCTGCTCTGCTCTGCTGCTGATCCTCCTCCGCCTCCTCCTCCTCCTCCTCCTCCTCCTCCTCCTCCTCCTCCTCCTTCTCTTAACCGTCCTCCTCCTCCCCTTAACCCTCCTCCATCCTCCTCCTCCTCCTCCTTCTCCTCCTACTCCTTCTCGCCCTCGTCCTCGCCGCCCGCCACGCATCGTGCGCACTGGAAAAGACGCGTGGCGGGGACGCAGTGGGACATAACGTGACAGAACAAGTCCTTTCGGAGGCTTCCAAGAACGCGTCACTGAAGCTTTCCAAAGCACACGATCGGAGAGGATGTTGAGGAGCAGGAGGAGGAAGAAGGGGAGGGAGGAGGGAACAATGATACGGACATTCAAAATGTGTCCAGCTGCCTGCGGCTAGTCCCACCACCATGCCTATCCAGTTGTCTGGGTCGTCTTTGCGCGTGTGAGCACGGATGTCCTACCTTGTGACGCATTGTATCACCAGGCTCGACGGTGGTAGTGTTGTTGATGGTGGTGGTGATGATGGTGCGATGACGACGGCAGAAGTGTCTTAGTGACGCCTGAAGCGTCACATGTGACCCCTCTTCAATAAGGATTGGTACCGGCTTACTTCTACTAACATACGGAAGTGTCCACAGACGCTCTCTTTGGACACTTCCTCTACTAAAGGGCGGAAGTGTCCAGAGACGATATGTCTGGACATTTCCTCTCTCTTTCGTTGGGTCTTGCGCTGTTCTCCCGCGAGACAGGCGGCGATACTGTCATACGTGACGCCTCGGCCGCCTCGGAGAAGACGAAAGCGATTATGGTGATGGTGATGATGATGATGATTCTGATGTTGATGCAGATGCCGATGCTGATGCTGATGTTGGTGCTGCTAATGATGATGATGATGATGATGATGATGATGATGATGATGATGATGGTGCTGATAAGGATGATGACGATGGCTATGATGATGATGATGATGAGGACGATGAGGAGGAGGAGGAGGAGGAGGAGGAGGAGGAGGGAGAGGCAGAGCAGAACCGTCACATTCGCACGCGTTGGGTTTCCAATCGTGCAACTACACACTGGGTTTCCAAACCTAACATTCGTGCACTATTGGTCCTATAGCCCCTGTATTGTTTTCATATTAGCGAGCGGCGAAATTGTGGGTTTCCAGACCTCACTTCATGTATTTTCGGAACCCTAGTATTCGTACACGATCTTTCTCTGGCTCTTCGGGACGATTCCCATCAAATTCCTCTTCAGTTCTACTTGGTTGTTTAATTGGATGTGTCTGCAATTCCTATGGTACCCGAATCGAATTGGATTCGTATTCAATTTGCACGACCGTAGTAGTAGTAGTAGTAGTAGTAGTAGTAGTAGTAGTAGTAGTAGTAGTAGTAGTAGTAGTAGTAGTAGTAGTAGTAGTAGTAGTAGTAGTAGTAGTAGTAGTAGTAGTAGTAGTAGTAGTAGTAGTAGTAGTAGTAGTAGTAGTAGTAGTAGTAGTAAGTAGTAGTAGTTAGTAGTAGTAGTAGCAGTAGTAGTTTAGTAGTAGTAGTAGTAGTAGTAGTAGTAGTAGTAGTAGTAGAGTAGTAGATCGTAGTAGTAGCAGTGGTAGTAGTAGTAAAGTAGTAGTAGTAGTAGTCGTAGTAAGTAGTAGTAGTAGTAATAGTAGTAGTAGTATAGTAGTTGTGGTGGTAGTAGTCGCAGTAGTAGTAGTAGTAGTAGTAGTAGCAGTAGTGAGCATAGTCGTAGTCGTAGTCGTATAGTAGTAGTAGTAGTATAGTAGTAGTAGTAGTAATAGGTAAGTAGTATAGTAGTAGTAGTAGTAATGACTCGTAGTCGTATTCGTAGTAATCGTAGAGTAGTAGTAGTAGTAGTAGTCGTAGTAATAGTAGTAGTATAGTAGTAGTAGTAGTAGTAGTAGTAGTAGTAGTAGTAGTAGTAGTAGTAGTAGCAGTAGTAGTAGTAGCAGCATTCGTATTCGTACTCGTCCTGGTACTATTCGTAGTAGCAGTACGAGTGCTACTTGCAGTAGTAGCACCAATACTAGCGCAAGTACTAGCACGAGTAGCAGTAGGACAAGTTGGTAGTATTAGTCGTAGTCGTAGTAGCCGTAGTCGTAGTAGTAGTAGTAGTAGTAGTAGTAGTAGTAGTAGTAGTAGTAGTAGTAGTAGTAGTAGTAGTAGTAGTAGTAGTAGTAGTAGTAATAGAAGTAGTAGTAGTGTGGTGGTGGTGGTAGAAGTAGTAATAGTAGTAGTAGTAGTAGTAGTAGTAGTAGTAGTAGTAGCAGTAGTAGTAGTAGTAGTAGTAGTAGTAGTAGTAGTAGTAGTGGTAGTGGTAGTAGTAGCAGTAGTAGTAGTAGTAGTAGTAGTAGTAGCTGTAGCCGTAATCGGAGTCGTAGCCGTTGCCGTCGTAGTATCCATAGAAGTAGTAGTAGCAGTAGTAGCAGTAGTAGTAGTAGTAGTAGTAGTAGTAGTAGTAGTAGTAGAAGTAGTAGTGGTGGTAGTAGTCGTCGTAGTAGTAGTAGTAGTAGTAGCAGTAGTAGTAGTAGTAGTAACAATAGTAGTCGCAGTTGTAGTCGGAGTCGTAGTAGGACTATTAATAGCAGCCGTAGTCGTAGTAGTCGTAGTCGTAGTAGTAGTAGTAGTAGTAGCAGTAGTAGTAGCAGTAGTAGCAGTAGTCGTCGTAGTAGTAGTAGTAGTAGTTGGTAGTAGTAGTAGTAGTAGTAGTAGTAGTAGTAGTAGTAGTAGAAACAGTACTAGTAGAGTAGTATAGCTAGTAGTAGTAGTAGTAGTAGTAGTAATAGTAGACTAGTAGTAGTAGTAGTAGTAGTAGTAGTAGTAGTAGTAGGTATAGTATAGTAGTAGTATAGTAGTAGGTAGTAGTAGTATAGGAGTAGTAAGTAGTAGTAGTAGTTAGTAGTGTAGTAGTAGTAGTATCGTAGTAGTAGTAGTAGTAGTAGTAGTAGTAGTAGTAATAGTAGTAGTAG